AAAACAAAATCAAAAGTCATGTCAAGTGGGTTTTTACTATATGCCGAATCAATACCAATTGTCTTGGCTATTAAGAACTTCTAAGATATAAAAAAAATTTGATATATTTGAGGTCGGAGGTACATACTTGAGCACACATACTCTTTAGATGTTCGACGAAATCCACAAATTCGTGCAATCAATGCCCTGATTGGGCAACAAATAATGTGGCGATTGGACACAATCAACCATACATTTCAGCAGGTATTATCAGGGCTATAAAATGTGAGTTTAATGTATGGATTAGCTACAACAAAACCTAAAGAGATAAAGAAAGGGACTTGCATGGTCCATAGTTCACCTTAAGAGAGGTTTCAGAAATTGTCTTTATACTGTCACATGTTAACTGAATGAAACCTTGGAACCGTCATACGCATTCAACTCGACAGCAACATTAGGTTCTTGTATTTCTTCTTAACATTCGAACCGATTATGCGTGTCTTTCGAGATTACATAAGGCTAGTCGTTTGAGTTATTGGAAGTCATTTGAAGGAACGGTACAAGAAAAACACTATTAATTGTTGCAGCTCGGGATGCCAACATGCAGATAAATCATATTGCTTCGAGCAACTACCAGGCTGTTCCCGCTTTCTCACCGTGGTGTCTGCATGTGGCATATTGAGAAAAATCTTATCACAAGGTACAGTAGTAGCAATGACGCATTCTTGTTCAGGCTTGCAACGCTAGCATACCACATATCAAAATCCAAGCAATTAATAAGACAATTAGAACCGTCCAACCCGCAATTACTTCTTATTTGGAACGTGTTGATACATCCACATGGTCACAGGCAAATTTTGGTGATAACTAGTACAACATATGAATAACAATAGCTTGAAGTCTCTTATTTCAATCCTTAGGCAACAATGAAATTTCACTATAACCTCGTTGGTAAAAAACACATTAGGTCATTAATACAACAGTGGTTCTTCGAGGGGAGAACCGCATCCACCAAATGTCAGGGTGCCTTAACACCAAAACTGGAAGAGGAATTGAGAAAATCATTTGAGGTCGGTACAACATTACAAGTATGTCACCTGGATGAACTCGTTTTGAATGTTGGTATAGTCTTAGACATTTTTATCATCGACCTTATAGGTAACATATGATCATGTAAAGAGTTCTAGATGCAACAGATACCGTATAAACATGCATCCCAAGCTACTTGTATAAAAAAACTTCACTCTATGAATTATGTTCCCCTTACTAGACCTTGAAGGATTGACGAGTTGCATACAAAGAATTCATTCACCCACTTGCATAGAGTTCAATTGGGATGTCCCTCATGCAATTCATTCCATCCATGTTTCGTCCCCAAATATACATAGAACATCAGGACGACCTCCTACCCAATATAAAAGGTCAAGCACTGAAAGGTCGACAAGCATGTAAAATTGTGAATGATGCGGAGGTTCCAGACATAACGGACAAACATGTAGGAACCCAATACCATTGACTAACATGTGCACTTAAATGTTGTGTGTTTTAATCTTAAGATGAAATTCATCATTTGAGAATAACAAAAGAATCTTAAACCATGAAATAGACTTTTGCATTTGTTACTTATTTTATCAATTCATTTCAAGCTTACTAATCATTTGAAGAACAATACAATACATGAAATTACTATGTCAACTTCAAAATATTACACAGTCACAAGCTTATTTTACCACAACGACAGTCAAAATTAACGAATGTTCATAAACTGTCAAACTATATTAACCTAACCATTCCTTTAACATAAATCAGACCAACATCAGAATATCAGCCTTGTCATCGGAGCTTATGATGATCACCTATTCCAGGATGGCAGGCACCAGTCCTACATTGTCGCCTAACTCATCAACGTAAGCAATGCTAAATAGGACATGATGTTCTTCTAGCGAGACTTCAAAGGGGAGGACCTCATGATCCATAAGGTGATCACCAACTCCAACTTTAGGCTTATATCTATCATTCCAATTAGCATCTTTCAAGAAGACTTTCTATAAGTTGGTATAAGTGACTCTGTCACTAGCATTAAATATTTTATCCCATAGTCAAGTTTTCTCAAGGATTATTTTGGCTGCCATACCCTTAGGCAGTTCATCAAACTTCAAGCATGTGACTAATGCAAACTCTACCATACCAAATCTAGCAAAGGATTCACATTAAACCAAGCGTCATACCATTTTGGGCAAAGAACCACTATATTCACCATTTGTTGGATCAATGGCATAGATAGTTTGAGCTCCGACATTTTCCCAACCTACCCTACGCAACTTTCCTCGAACTACCTTTTTTGTCATGCGTTAAATTTGTCCAGTATGACTTTAACGTATCGGGTGTTGCTCGCTAATGAAATTTGCAAGAAAACGCTCTTCCTAGGGAATTTTATGTGTATGGGTAGACGTCATCTACAAATACATTACACAAACAGAATAAAGAATATGAAACCTGCTAAAGAAACAAATGACCTAAGAAATACATGAAACCATTTGACCATGGCAAATGCTTGCTATCTAATCAAATAGGATAGTATACAAATTCAATAAAATGTAAGAATTTAAAATTCTAACTATTTCTAACAAAGATTTAAGATTTATAAAAGACCTTGATTTCTAATCTTTATGTCTATTTCAAGCTTCATTCCCCCCCCCCCCCCCCCCCCCAAC